AAAAAAAAAAAAAACCTGGAGTTTTTCCTTTGTCCTTGTGAGTTGTTTGGGCTTTAGACTCTAGTTTTGAATATTTATGATAAATGTTATCTTGGTCAGTTTTGAATGCTGTAACAAAATACCTGACACTAAGTAATACATAAATAAAATAAGTTTATTTCGCTCAAAGAAATAATGACTGAAAAATCTCAACCACATGGTACTATTGAGAGCCTTCTTGTGTATGTGACAGCATAATGGGTGACATCACATGGCAGAAATAGATACTTTTTAAAAAGGGAGAAAGACAAAGTCACAAGGTGAGACAAGACCTAAGAGACCACAGAAAGGCTGGGCACGATCTTTTATAACAGCTAATTTTTGACCTAATCACAACTCTGAGACCTAACTCCTTTATAGTAGTTGTCCATTTCACACATTAACCACCTTTCTGAAAGGCTCTATGAGTTTTGTTGGAGACAGACCACATTCAAACTATAGCAGATGTCAAGGTTTAATGGCTGATTGCTGTTACTCTGTTTATAGTAGAATAAATTGACAACAGGAATAAAGCATTAGATGGATGGTTGGGCATATAACCTTTAAATAACTTTCTAATTCTGCCTTTTTATAATTCTAAAATAAAATGGTTTGAAGAAAATGTCCCAGCCTTAGTAGAACATAAAGTGTTTTCTGGCTACTAACATGATTGAAAATAAAATATGAACCAGTTTGTTTGTGGTACTGGAGAATGAAGCCAGGGCCTTTGCCTTGAGCTACATCCTCAGCCCTTTTATATTTTTTTTGAGACAGGGGTCTTACTGAGTTGTCTAGGCTGGGCTCAAACTTGTGATCCTCCTGCCTCAGCCCCAAAAGTTATGGGTTTATGGGCATATTCCTTTTTTTTTTTTTTTTTCTTTATGTATTTGGTACAGGGTCTATAGGGCCTCACTATGTAGATTGGACTCGTAATGATCCTCCTGTTTTTCAGCCTCCCAGATGTTGGGATTACAGGCATGCGCCACCATGCCTAGTCTCAGTTTCCTTCTTAATGCACCCTGGGAGCGGGGCTGGCACAGTATGCCTGGGATTGAACCCTGGCTGCTGTGCTCTGCCTAAACAGGCATTTTAATCCGTTGAGCTATCTGGCTGGCCCCTTATAGGCATATTCTAACCCTGCATAGCTAGAGTAAGTAATTCAAAATACATACAAATTTAAGTCTCTTTGACCAGCTATCTCGACTAGCATGTCTTTTATACATGTAGAAGAAACTGTGGTCAAGATAAATTACATTTTAACTCATATGCATTCCCTCCTAAATATCTATAGTGCTGTTTAGAGAAGCAATTTGTTTGCTCCAGAATTGTATTGAGAATTTAGTTGAAACTGTTGACTTGTACTAAAAATGTTTTTCCTTACAAAGGTGCGCCAACCTGTCATATGCATCAACAACCATGTGTTTTGTTCTATTTGTATTGATTTGTGGTTGAAGAACAATAGCCAGTGTCCAGCTTGCAGAGTCCCCATCACGCCTGAAAACCCTTGCAAAGAGATCATCGGTAAGGGTCTACTTTATATACACAGAAATAGATTTGAAACAGTTTCAAATGTATATTTTGAGGGAGACTTAAATTGACAGGTTTTAATGTTGTCATTTGGCCAACAGTATACTGAGTGAATTAATAATTTGTATAATGTATATGTGGAGTACTGAGAAGGAGAAAGCATTATGAGCAGTGCCTAGTGAACCTTACATTCCAGGAGAGCCTGCACATGCAGGGAGGAGGGGATGGTAAACAGAAAGCGTAGAGAAGCTCACCTAAAACAAAAGCTTCATGAAATAGGCTTTAAATTGGACATTTAAGGATGAGTAAAATTTTAACTAGTAAAAGTTAGGGCTACTATGTCATATAATGAGAATAGAATAATTAAGATTTAGATAGACGAAAATGCAGAGCATTTTTGTGGGAATGATCAGTAGTCTAGTTTGGGTCTGACTACTGAAATAATACTGAAAAGATAAATTGTGACCTTACTGTAGAGGACCTTGAATGACAACTAAGTCAGGGACTTACTATGTGGGTGGAAACAAGGATGAAGAACAAGGGAGGGGTGCGACCCATTGTGTTCTTTGAGCATATTACTTGTAGTGATATATAGAGTGCATTGTACAAGAGAGACAGAATGTGGATGAGTCAGAGGAGACTTTGCCCAGGTGAGGGAGAATGTGAGTCTGAATTATGGGTTTAAAAAGAAAAAAAAGAATTCAGTGCCACATTGATGCAGGTAAGAGGGATGAAACTTGAATGAGTGTACTTACTGTGGCAGTACATATTCCAAAATCAGAACAGTACTGAGATTAGCAAGGCCCCCACATAAGAATGACACTCAAATTCATGAAACATTCTATATTTTTATGCAAGACATTGAAACTTGGCCCATATATTCATCATGTGCAAGCTAAAATCAAAATGGATGTAAGATCTAAATATTAAAATAGAAACATTTACTCTGCTAGAAGATAGTCTAAACTCTTGAAGACATAAGCATGGACAAGGACTTTCTGAACAAAAACCTGATTAAATAAGAACTATTGTAAGAATCAACAGATGATTATATCAAATTAAAAAGCTTTCTCACAACAAAGAAAACAACCAGCAGAATGAAAGAGAAACAGCCTACAGAATGTGAAAAACATTTTGTCATCTAGACCTCAAACAGAGGACTTGATATCCAGAAAGTATAAAGAACTAAAAAAATTTAAAGACCCCAAATTAAAAAAAAAAGATCCAATTAAAAATGGGCAACTGAAATGAATAGGTACTTCTCAGAGGAAGTATAGATGACTAGTAAATTCATGAAAAAATGCTCAAAAGTGCTGGCCATTAAAGGCAAATTAAAACAATACTCAAATTCCATCTTACTGCAGAAAGTATTGCTATCATCAAGAAATCAAATTAGGAAAAAAAGATCTCTTCTACATTGTTAATGGAAATGTAAACTGAATTTAAATGTAAACTGGTATAACTAATATGGAAATCAGTATGGACATTTTTCAAATAACAGACTAGAAATTCCCTTTAACCCAGCTATTCGCTAAGAACTAAAGACATCATATGACAGTAGTACATGCATCACCATGTTTATAGTACCACATTTCATAATAGCTAAGTCTTGGAAGTGGCCTGTGTGACCAAGAACAGATGGATAGATGAAGAAGATGTGGTATTAGCACACAATGGAGTATATTCTATCCAGAAGAATAAATTTGAGTCACTTGTAGGAAAATGGATATATCTTGCTACCATTAATGTTAAATAAATTAGAAACCTAAATTATAATAAGTTAAAGAGCAGGTAGAAAAAAAAAGAGCAGGTAGATCGTAGGAAACAGGAAGATAGATTTTCTTTACAAATGAGGAACAGTCGGTCAAGAGATGGAGAAGGGAAATTCAAATGAATTGTGTAATGTATATGTTCCAACTCCCCACAGTGAATGTAATTGTTATCTACTGCAAACATTTACTAATACAACTTTTTAAAAACTTAGAAGATCTTTGAGAAAGAACATATTTAAAGAGGCTTTGTAGTGTTTGATTTTATTCTTCTCATATAGATTATTCTATTTTTTAAAATTATTTTTCCTGTTGCTGTGCTGAAGATCAAACTCAGGACCTGGTGCATGTTTGGCAAGTGCTCTACCACTGACCTACATCTCCAACCCATGTTGTTTCTTTCAGATTGCAACAATTTAGGCAGTGCATGATTTTGCTTTAGGAAACACTGAAAGTGAATCTATAATTAGTCATATGTAGGAAGCTCTTAGAAAACTTAAGTTTGTGTAATAGTCACAAATTAGGGAAAATTACCTTAAACAAGATTTTCACAATGAAAATATATAGGGAGATGTATGCTAGAAAGAATAACCAGTGAGAATTTAGAAATCAAAGATTAGAAGGAAGTTGGCTTCAAGATTTCTCCCTTTGCTACCTGGGTAAAAGCTAATGGAGAGGTCTATTCTACATTACGATCTATTTTGCTTTATGCTGCATTGTCCTCTGGGAGAAGATAGAAGGGACAGAAAGGGGGTAGTATTATATGAATAAGACAGGGAAGGGTGCCTAAATTTGGAACCCTCTCCCTTGATGACCAGCCCACTCCTAGACTCTTCCTGACTACATTTTTATTTACCAAACTTAACAAGGGAGTCAGATCTACTTGACTTATTTCTTTAACTCAGCTTTTCTTCACAACTCTTCTTTTTGCCTTTATTCAATCTTAATTTTTTTGTTCGCGTGTGGGTTTGTTTTTTCAGTTCTAGAGACTGAACCCAGGACTTTGCACATCCCAGGCAATTGTTGTGCCACTGGGTTACATGCACAGCTCCATGTCTTAAGTTACATTTCATAAACTCTCAAATAAGATAGTTTATCTATTCTGAAAGAGAGCAACCGAAGACTGCTTTTGGATATCAAGATAAGAAAGTAACCTCAGCATAAGTGAAGAGCTCTCAGAAAACTTTATAGTTAGTGTATTTTTGACAAGTTATAAGATACAGTTAATTTTATAACCATAGTTCATTGTAAGTAGGTTATTAGAGAGTACAGTTTACTTTTTAAAGTTGTGTTACCCATAACTGGCAATTTTTGACTATTCGATTATGATTATTTATGCACACACATATATGTGTTCTTTATGTAGTCTGTTGGCTAAATAAAAATATAGTGATTTGGTTTTATTATTTAACAGTCATCTAATTTTCAGACTTGCAGTAGTCCAAATACAGTAATATTTGGCTATTTCCTCCATTGAGCTTGCTATGTAAGAGCTATAGTAAGTAAACATTATATTTAACTGAAAGTATTTCTTGTGGTGTTAATAAGGACTTCTTCTCAGGGTGAGGATGGAAGAAAAGCCTAGATGGTAGTCTCAAATGTGTATGTGAGGGAAAGTATAGATAGTAAGGTAGAAAACCACATAAAGCAGAAAACGGTTCATTTTTCTTCTGCCCAAATCACAACAAAAATTAGGATCTGTTATTTATTTTTCCTATAGGAGGAGCAAGTGAAAGTGAACCTATGCTAAGCCACACAGTCAGGAAGCACCTTCGGAAAACTAGACTTGAGTTACTCCATAAAGAATATGAGGTAAACAATCCTTAATGTTTAAAATGATGTCAGCAAGGAGATAGAGGTAACAGTGAACTACCTCAGTTCCCAGGCTTCTTAAACACCCAATGAATCTTTAGTTTGAATTCAATTTTTAAAGTGTCTTATGTGATAGTTTTTCTTTTTTTCCATTTTTATTTTAAATAGAGGGGGAAAAAAAAAAAAAAACCTCTTTCTTTTTTTCCTTCAATTACCAGGGAAGGAGATGCTAGCATACCAAAGGACAGCAATAGATGGAAGCATTTTTTTTTCATTTTTCAATTTAAAATTTGTGCCTCTATGTGTAGTTTTATATTTGTTTCTTTAAGAAGCTAAAAGATTATTGAAAACTGACCTGTGATAGTCACTCTGACCCCACACTTACTATTTGTTTTAGCCATAAACTCACTGATGAGTAAAAGCCTAATTCTTATAAGGTAAATTTGCATTATTATGTCACTATCAGCACTGCAATTTTGGTAAAAAAAAATACTGTTTCCTATTTCCTGTCTAAAAGTGAGTGAGCAAGCTTATTTGCCCTGATGGTGGAATTTTCCAAATAACTTCATGCTAATTAAATATACTTTTAAATAGTAGACATTAAGTCCAGTTATCATTTTGACTAAAGAGAGTATTTTTTAATCTCCTCTTTATATGTAAAATACCTTTAAGTTAAACTATGTACATAGAAACTACCCTCAGCTGCCTCAGAGTTATTTTTGATTGTAGTGGGGCATAGAAGATTGAATAAATATTTATTCATATATGTGTTTTCCACATATATGCAAACAAAACACCATGTTTATATTTGTTAATATATTAATGTAAAGAAAGCAATTTGCCTTATAAAACCACTTAACTTGGAAATGTAATATAATTTAAAATATATCACTATGATAAAAAGAACTCTAATATATATCCGTACATACTTAGTATTTGTTACACTTAGGTACTACTCAGATTAATCCTCTGAGAGATCACTGGCTGGCTTAGTCTGTTTTCTGCTGCTAATCCCATACCTGAGACTAATATTTATTTGGCTTATGCTTCTGAGGCTGAGAAGTCCAACCACAGGGCACTGGTATCTGGCCATGGCTTTATGCTGCATTGTCCTCTGGGAGAAGATAGAAGGGACAGAAAGGGGGTAGTATTATATGAATAAGACAGGGAAGGGTGCCTAAATTTGGAACCCTCTCCCTTGATGACCAGCCCACTCCTAGACCAATAGCCTTATTCCATTTGCAAAGGCAGAGCCATAGTAGAAACTCTTATGAGTTTTACCTTTTAATACTGTTACAATGGCAGTTGGGAGAAGACATTCAAATTATAGTGCTGGCAAATTGAGTTACTTGGAGTTCATTTTCTAATAAGAGAGTTTTTTGGTTTTTTGGGGTTTTTTTTTGTTTTTGTTTTGTATTTTAGGGAAGGGTCTACAGGGTGTTAAGGTCTCACTGCTAGATTGGACTCCATTAAAACCTCCTAAGAGCTGGGATTACAGGCCCGTGTGACCATGTCCAGTCTCAGTGGCTGTCTCAGCGTGCCCCGGTAGTAGGGATACTGATGCCCCAGCCCCTATGCCTGCTTGTAAGTGCTTTAATCCGCTCAGCTATTTGGCTGGCCCTCTATCAAGAAAATTTTTAACAACTTAATGTGACATGTTTATAGATGCATAAATGAAATCACAGAAAAATTGTAACCCAAATTTCAGTGATTGCATTTAAGGCAATAAGCAGTAAGCTGGGTGTGGGGACTCATTCCTATAATGCCAACATTGGGGAGTTTAGGGCAGAAGGATCACCACAAGGTCACAGCTAGCCTGTGATACATAGTGAGTTTAAGGCCAGCCTAAACTATAAAGTAAGACCCTGTCTCAAAAAATCTATATAAGGGCTAGGGATATATCTCAGTGGCATAAGCGCCTGCTTGGCAATACAAGGTCCTGAGTTCAAACTCCAGTACAAAAAAAAAAAAAAAAACAACAAATCTTCATAAATAAAATAAGCGGTTTCAGAGTGAGAAACCCAATACATATAGTACTTATAATGCTAATTGAAGAAGAATCTAGAGAAGTTAAAAGTTAAGTATAGGTATTTTGGTAAGAAAACTGGGAAGATATTTGACTTGACTTCTACTTCAAATATAGTGAAAAATACAAAAACAGAACAATCAGTCATCTTGATCAGTGTGGAACTTGTAATTTACCTCAGTAAAACAAACACGACTCACATTTTTCCTCTAAAAATGGAATCTACTTCCCTGTTGATTTTTATTTTATTTTTTGGATGATACCTTAAATAGAATATAAGGTTTGACATTTTTAAACAAAAACTAAAAGTGAAAGCATAAATGTCAGTTTTTATTAGAAACAATACATTTTGAAACTTTAAGTTGTATATTATTTTCTCCCTACCAAACTATTATGATGGGTAAAGAATCTATGTACATAGAGACATTTGATTGTCACATTAAAAAACACAGTGGCTTCAGCTTTTAGCATAGATGTGTGTTTAGTGTCTGTCTGCCTAATAACTGTGTCATACTTTTTCAGGATGAAATAGATTGTTTGCAGAAAGAAGTAGACGAGCTTAAAAGTAAAAATCTCAGCTTGGAGTCACAGATCAAGACTATTCTGGATCCTTTAACCTTGATGCAAGGCAGCCAGAATGAAGATAAACTTCTGATTGCAGATAATCCAAGTAAAATTGACCCAGAAACTGTATCAGAATGGAAGAAGAAACTCAGAACAGCTAATGAAATTTATGAGAAAGTAAAAGATGATGTTGATAAATTAAAAGAAGTAAGTTATAATGGTTTCGAAAAATATATTACGGTTGTTTTAACAATTCTTTTTTTAAAGTTTTTAAAATTCTTTAATACAGAATACAGTTTTTAGAAAAGATCAAAAATGATACAGAATTTCAAAACAAGATGATAGGAAATCAGCAATGGTTATTATATTTAATACTGTTGTCTTCAAAGTAGCTGTTCAGATTGTCAGGTAGAAACAAGCCAAATTGTTTAAGAAAAAAAAATTAAACACTAACTGTTCCTTTCAATAAGCCAATAGAAATTAGTACTAAAGTTATCCTAGCTATCCTTTTTTTTTTTTTTTTTTTTCCTTTTTTCCTTTCCCTCATCCCAGTTGTTCTTTCCTTTTGAGCAATTTTCCTTTCACAATATCTATTGTACCTTCCACATTTTGGTTATTCTTTCAGTTTCTTACGCTAGGGAGACAGTGTGATGTTTAAACACATCCATCTGATTATTTCACTAATGAGTATGGTCTCTAGTTATATCTATTTACCTATAAAAGCTTTGTTTATCTTTCTGTATAGCTCAGTAATACTCTCTTTTATAAAAATACCACATCTTTTTATCTATTCTTCAGTTGATGGGCCTCAGAAAGAATGTTTATCATCAAGGACTCAACCAATAACAAATGCTGGCAAGGCTATGAGGAAAAAAGAACCTTTTTCCACTGTTGGTGACAGTGTAGACTGGCACAACCACTGTGGAAATCAGTGTGGAGATTCCTCAACAAACTAGAACTAGAGTTCCCATTTGACCCATCTATTTCCCCTTCTAATATTTTTCAAGAAGAATTGAAAACATCATACCACAGTGGTATATGTGCACCCATGTTTATAGCAGTACAATTTGTCATTGCTAAATTTTGGAAACAGCCTAAATACTGTAGGCATCTTCAGAGGTATAAATAGCTATACTATGTTGATTCCTCATTAGATGATTTGTGAGTGAAGGATAGAATTCCTGGATGTGCATTTGTGTGCAGTAGGAAAATGTTTTTCATGAAATATCGTTAGCTGCCAAGGAATACCAGGTGGTTCCATTTGTGACTATAATTTGAGATTCTAATGCTTCCATATGAGATTGCATCTTCTAGAAGAGTAACATCAATTTAAAGAGTGTGCTTCTATTTCCCCCTCTTTGTGGTTAGCCTTATTTTTTAAACCTTATATCAGTGGCTGCCTGGTTTTCATAAAAACAAACAGCCATTTCCCTACTTAGAAATGGAAAAGTTTTGACTATATATTTTGTAATGCTACCCGTCTCAGATTAATGGATAGTGAAAGGCTTGATGACTAATTCTAAGAGTTGTCAACAAATTGCTTTAGACTAAGACTACTCTATGCAAAAGATTATTGTGACTTATGAAGCTTATTCATATTTTTCCCCAATTTCCCATCTATATAGCAAAATAGAACATAAGTAAACATGATAAACTTCTATAATTTTTCCAGCGTAGAAGATCAGAATCATGCCTTCAGCGTGGGTGGCAGTAATCAGGTGCTCCAGTGCTTGCTTTTTTTTTTTTTTTTTTTTTTTCTTTTTGAGACAGAGTCGCGATATATAATTCAACTGACCTTAAGCTCACTTTGTAGCCCAGCTTGGTCTCAAACTCAGTGATCCTCCTGCCTCAGCCTCTGAAGTGCTGGGATTACAGTCGTGAACCACCACGCCCAGCTTCTAGTGCTTTCTTGACCAAAGACCAACCTTTGCTTAATTTCAGGTTTATCTGTACTGGATTCTGGTTGTACTGAACAGAGATGATTTTGCAGTACTCTGGTCTACATCTACCCTATATGGAGTTCCTAAAATAATGGGTTTTGTACTGAATTACCAAACCCTGTACCTTAAGATCATTAATAAGATCCATATGATATTTTAAAGAAGTGTCACTGTATATGGGCTCTCATTCCTCATTGAGGGAAGGGTCTGGAACTTGGTGTTAGGCATCTTCCATATACAAAATAGATGCTGTGAAAAAAAAAAATTGAAAAGTGACCTTAAGCTCATTTTGTAGCCCATGCTGGTCTAGAACTCACAGTGATCCTCCTGTCTCACCTTTGTAAGAGCAAAGGAAGAAAACAGTGTTTTCAGAGGAAGTAAAAGAAACTACAGACATGATTGCACCTACTTTGTTATAAGTTGGGTAGAAATGTAGTTTCTTCATGTATTATGACCAACTTTAGTATTTTAGGTTAGAAGAAAAAAATCATTATGAGGAATGACATAAAATATTAGTGTTTATCAGTCTGTAATTTTTCCTTTAACTTCTATAGCTCTTCTTGAGCCATCTGTAAGCTTTATATGGTTCCTTACACAGTTAGCTACATTTTTGGTAAAGAATGCTTCTTAGAACATGAAGTTTTGTTTGGAAAATACTCTGGGCTCCTAAGGGTAGTATGGGAAATTATTTAAAATAAAAGTACACAACACACAAATCATTATATAGTTATCCTGAGTGTGCAGGATAATTTAGGATGATAACCACTGATATTAGATACTAGGAATAGGCTATAAACCAGAACATTAATGAATAAGAAAACCTGAACTGCAGAAACAAAACTGAAATGTAAAGAGTTTAAAAAATACTATGCTATAAATCAAATATAGGGGGAGTATAAAAGAATAAGAATAAAGTATTACTTAGGAAGAGTAAAATAGACTTTAGTATTTCCTGGACTAGGTGAATTAGAAGTGTCACGAGGCCAGTTTCATTAGCTCATCAGTGTTAGAACAGCATTACTCTCTTAGTGCAGCGACTAGTGAGCAAAACTCTACTCTTTGCAACATTTGTTCCTGGAATTCTCCTGAACTTGAAAATATTTCTAATAATTGAGGAACTAGCCAACCTATAATGTGAAGCATTAAGTCACAAGACTGCCGAAGAGCTCTTTAAACATGGGGTAGTGGTACAGTATGGGTGGGAGTAGGGAAGAAAAATCAAATGAGTTTCTAATTTAAGCTTGTCATCATCAGAAAGCATTCACTAAGTGCCTCCCTTATGCTTGAAAGCTTAATTCACTATGTATATATGAGGAAGTAAATGGCTTTCCTTATATCTTCAGAGGAGCAGTAATGTTGTTTATTGGTCACTTACAGAATTAACCCTTCACACTCACGGTTGGTGTGCATCCATAAAGTTGAATCCATACCTGAGCGCAAAAGAATGTTCTTTGCTTTATTTTTCTCATGATTATCCTGGTGCATTTGTATGTAGGCGGGTAACAGAGTAATTTCCAGATCTTCTGAAAGTTAGTCAAAAGCCAAAAGCTTTGGTTCAAGTTTTGAAATGGGTTTTTAAGGCTTTTTGGTTTAAAGTTTTTCTTTTCTTTTTTTTTTTTTTTTCATGGTAGCTCTTGTGACTCCTTAACTTTGAATGTAAATATCCAAATCAAATAATTTCTTTTGCCCTATGAATTGAGTTTGGTTGACAGTCTTGAGAGTTTTATTTTTGTTTGAAATATACAAATGCAGTGACAAGAAAACTTTAAAAAACAGCTTTTAAGAAGACTACTTTAAGACAACATTTTTAGGCTTCCATAATTAGTATTGAGCCACTGTGTTTCTAATAAGTAGTACCTTATTTGGTAACTTGTAGATATTACATAATTCAAGAAAATAAAATCATAATTTTTTATTTAACTCAAGGAAGAATCCATGAAGTTTATTAGAAAATACTGAGCCAGTTTTAACGTTCCTAGAAGTTGTGAGCATGAGAATTGGGAAAGCTTTTTTGAAGGAAGAACGCTAACAGTTTTATTATACTAAATTTATCACTGCAGTTTTTAGATAGCAACCAAGAAATCAACCTCATAGGCCAAGAATTAATTATTCAACATTAGTGTGCAAATAGTGCTATGTGTTATAATGTTACCTTTCTCACAATATTCATTTATGGAAGAAAGGAAGAAAGAACACTTACATTTGCCATTTGTAGTGTTGCCTTAATGACTTAGCTAGTTCCCTAACATAGGATTATTTCCTTGAACAGAATATTTTTAAAGTGCTTGGGGAACATGGATTAAAAATGCTTAGTTATGTTTACAGTTTCATGTGTTATTCCCAGTGGTAATCGTAAGTTTCTGAAAACGATGTTCTAGCATTTAGTTTTCTGATATTGCTCTAAAAAATACAGTTGGCTCATGTCATAATTTTTACAAGGCATTTTTTTGTTTTAGCTCATGCTTAATTATATTCAACTCCTTTCTTTAGGCAAATAAAAAATTGAAATTGGAAAATGGTGGCCTGGTGAGAGAGAATTTACGACTGAAGGCTGAAGTTGATAACAGATCACCCCAGAAGTATGTATTTTCCTCACAGAGCAGTGTTTCAGACTAGGCTGTTGTGATTGCACATGATTTTCTTGTAAGCACATAGACTGGCTTGCCTCTAAAAGTCTACTGCATACTTTGTGTATTAGTAAAATTTTTGTCTCTGTTAAGGCTAAATTTGAATTCTTCTCTTGTTTGATTGCTGAGTGGTTCATTTTATGTTAGTGTTCACTTAGTTTTACATAAAACTGTTTAATAGTACTGACAAATAGTGAGATTATAGCAAAGCCATTCATCTGTTTTCTGAGATAATCCTAGTAATAATTAGTGTTCATATAGTGTATGCTCTTTACCAGTACAACAGTACATAATGTAGAATTATTATTACTCTATAGATCGTGAGATGAAAACAAGAGATTAAATTAATTTATCTGAATCTGTACAGCTAGTAAATGATAGAAAAGGCATTAGAGCTCAAGTAGTCCATCCCTGGAGTCTGTGCTGTCAACTATTACAAGAACAAGACTATCTGAAATGAGAATTAAAGCATTGCTCTTTGAATTTTGGGATGATTTGAAACTATACAGTTAAGGCAATTCTTGCTCTTTGATAGAAGTTTTCATTGTGTATAAGATTACAAATGTTGATCTGTTTAACAGTTTATGTGTTTCAAGTTGTAAAAGTTAACAGTTAAAGATGGTGGACTGGGGAGATAGCTCAGTAAAATAAGTGCACAAGGGCCTGAATTCAATCCCCAGTTCAAAAAAAAAAAACAGAGTTAAAGATGGTAAAGAGATAAAATCTGTTTTGGTCCAGGCAGGAGACAAATTTGTCGCCTTTCCCCAAGGTCTGGGAGCCTCTTGGAGAGATAGCATATCCAAATTCTATTCTCTCTTCTCATTCAACCACTAGATTTCATTTCTATTTTAAAAATTCAAGGCAGGGCTAAGCAAACAATGAAAATTTATCCTACCAGAAATACGATAAAATCTTGTCAATTGAAGAAGAGAAGTTGCCCTCAGCAGAATTGAATGTGGTATGAAGACATGGTAGAAGTAAACCATAATTATCCAAAGCAGAGATTGCTTACCAGTAAAGAAAGAAGAATAGCTTTTAACTTTAAATAATTCTTTCCACTGGGTTTTCCAGCCCTCTTTTTCTTTCCTTTCAGATAATATTCTACTTTGGCAAATTATTGAAATAAATTTAGGAAGTGTTGTTTTTACGTGGTGCTTTCACTCTCCGTTCCTGTCATTTATCGGCAGCTTGCTTTGCCAGTCATAGTAATGCTTGTCCATTAGCCATTTCGCACAGCATGCTGAATGGAACTGAAGCTATTTTGTTTGTAGCTTTTATTTCTTGAAAAGTTGCCCACCAGATTGCAAATTTAATGCCAGCTGCAAGGATGTGTGTTTTTAAATATCCATGCCTTTGTCCAGATAAAAACTGAGGAGCCTCCTGAGGAAACCTGGCCTCTATCTGCTCTCCAGCAAGCAGCTAAGCCAACAAAATGTTAGGCTTTGCCATCTTCAGGTTCTATTCCTTCCCTTCACAGAAAAGGAACACTTTCACTTGAAAGGCAGTTTAAACTGACCTGTTTCAGATCAATTTGCAATGCATTGAGGTATTAAATGCATTGTATTTGGTTTATAGCCTTGTTTATTCTGCATCCCCAAACCCTAGTGGGATTCAGAGAGAAACTGACCACAGCTGAAAATACTCAGATATGGTTCACCTGAGGAGAGCTCCTATTTCTACGGAAAAGAGTATGAAATTTCAAGAATTTAAAAGTAAATGCAAGTAAAAATATTTTATTTTATTCTCTCAGTATGGCAAGTACTTTGACTAGTTTATTTTTTTATTGTTCTTGTATATACTGGGTTAGATGCAATGGAATACTTTTAATACACATACTCTTTATTTCTGATGTATCCTACAAGTTAAACAGATATTTTATAACTCCACAGAAGAAAGAACTTTAAATTTTAGATATGAGAGAGGAAAAAAAATTAGGTGTGTTAATTCAGGCTGCCATAACAACAGATTTATTTCTTACATTCTCATGGCTGGAGGTCCTAGATGAAGTTTTGACAGGGTAGTTTTTCAGTCTCACTTGAGGTCACCTGCCTGTTATGTCCTTACATAGTAGGGAGAGAAGAATGAAAACACTCTTGTCTCTCATCATCTTCCTATAAGAACACTAATCCTATTGGATTAGGGGCCCAGCCTTATATCATTTAACTTTACCTCCTACATAGGTATCTGTGTTTGAATACAGTCACATGAGGGGTTAGAACTCAATATATGAATTCTGGAATACATAGCAGAAAGTATTCTTTTTCAAGACACTCAAACATGCTATTCCCAAAATACTAGACTGTAATTCAATATAAATAAGGGAGATTTTAAACTTTGTATTGATATGCTTTTAAAATTTTTATCACTACATGTTTGAAGTATTTAATGATTACATCCATCATGGGGAATTTGTACATGTACCTCATATACCATGACACATTTTTTACACCCTCTTCCTCCTTCCCTTTCAGTTTTTACTTTTATTTTTTTAAGAGGTGAAAAGTACTTTTTAAATTTTATTTCTTTACTCACTCATTTCTTTTTGTAGTGCTGTGATCCCAGCACTTAGAGCCCAGCCCAGGCAATTTAGCCACTTAGACTTTCAAAACAAAAATTGGGATTAGGGATGTATCTCAGTATGAAGGTCTTGGGTTCAGTCTCCAGTACTGAAAAACAAAGGAAAAATGGCTTTATTATAATCTTTAAAAAATGAAGGGCAAGATTTCTTCTCTCTTCTGCTTCTCTGTTTCTTTTATCCTTCATTATATGCAATCTTAAAGTGTACCTGGACATTTTTTCTTTCTCAATTGCAGTTAGCTTTTTTTTTTTTTTCAGTTAGCTTTTTGTAAGTCCTCTTGAGCAGTGAGGCCAGTTGATAGGCTAGTAAGTACATTAAATAACATCTGTTTGGTTCCTTGTCAGTGTTTCATTATCTCATTATCTAAGAGTAGTCAAAAAAAATGCAGGTTTTTTTTTTTTAACCTATTTTAGCCACTTTTGAATTCATTTGTTTCTGAATTAATCTAATTAGTTAATTTTTACCTGGAAGAATCTGCCACTTTTTTCCTCCTTTAGCTTATCATCACACACACAGACTTGTGAGAGAATAGGATCTGCTATACAAAGCTCAAAGCATGATAATATGTCTTTTACTTTACAAGACTAATATCTGAAGAAAACTCACTGTACTAGACAAACTAAAAATATTGCTGGTATTTGGTTTTGTTTAGTTTACATTAGTACTTTACACAGGGCTTTAGTGATACAAAATAAATATTCCTCCTGACCCCTAATACAGGTTAGTTTCTGTTTCTATAATTTTTCTTACTGCCTTGTAGTATTCTTCTTAGTACAAACCAGAACTGCAGATAATGAACCCTTTGTGTTTCATAACTTTTCTTCTCTTTGAACCAGTTGTATTTACTGTTATATCTACTACGCATTGTAGAGTCCTGGCTTTTGTTCTGGTCCTAATACAAATAGGTCAAGTAGAATGTGGTAGCCCCTACAGAAAAAAATAAGTAGATTTCTTTATTCTATCATTGGCAAGGGTACAGGGTTGCTTTGGTGACACATGCCTGAATCCCAGCACACTGGGAGCTGAGGCAAAAACAAGTTTGAGGCCAGCCTGAAGTATATGACAAGAGTTTTTCTCAAATAAAGGAGGTGGGGTAGGTGCAGAGGTAGAGGTAAAATTAAGAGACATTTTAAATGCAGAATGTGAATATTATTAGGATATTGGTTAGTATTGTCAAAAATCAGTAAATAGGGCCAGGGAGATAGGGCCTGAGTTTAATCTCAGGTTCCGCAAAAAAAAAAAAAAAATCAGTTAATACTAGATATTATCAAAAAGATGTTTTTTATCTAATTGGTAAATTGGAATATGAACAGGTATGGGATGATGCCGAGGAATTATTAATTTAATTTAGGTATCATGGTTACTTAAGAAAATGCATGTTTATCATAGTCCATTTTTGTCCCTCTAGTAAAATACTGGTATACTAGGTAGCTTATAAACATGAAACATTTATTTCTTATGTTTCAGTTCTCTAGGCTGAAGAAGGACACTGTCCAGGTGCTAGTGGATCAATGACGTTTCTATCTGTAAATACACACTTAGGGATGTTATACATTGTATCATTGGTTTTTAGTGAGATCTGTTAGTTTGATAAAGTCTCCCTTCATGATCACTTTACTATGCAGTAACCCCAAGGCTTGTCATTATAAACCAGGCTTTGCCTATATCCTAACTCTTCTCAGGAGAGGAGAAAGGCCATAGATGCTTTGTGGGTAGGGATCACTATTGCCTCTTACCAGTATATGAAAGGAAGTGATCCACAAAGAACATATTATATTTCACAGATTATGACTTAATTGTTCTTCCCATTTTGTTGTATTTGTGTGTGTGTGTGTGTGTGTGTGTGTGTGTTGAACCATCTATTCCCCTGGTCCTTGGGATGCAGTTCAGCAGTGTAGCATCTACCTAGCAAGCACAGAGCTCTGGGTTTAATTTCTGATACCAAAACAAAAATGATCATAGTAACAAATCCAAGTTGTAGTAGTGTATGGATCATGAACACAGGCTCTAGAGCCAAACTTTTATGCCCAGACTGTGCCTGTATTCACTGTATCTGATTTGGGTAAACATGTTTTATTTTTCTTTCTCTCAGTTTTTGTCTTCAGTGAAGGGAGGCCATTAGTACCTACCTTACAGATTGTAACAAAGGCTAAACAATTTAAAAGGTGAGATGCACCATAACTTCTGGCAACATTATAGTATTATCATCTTGATGTCCGTATCACTCTCCAAAATTATCTTTTTCATTTAATTGCTTGACCTGATTGAGCCCTTGTCTGTCTCCTGCGTTCTAAACTGTATGGTATCCAAGAGTAAGAACTAGTTGCTAGTCTCTTTCACTTCCAAAACTCCAGTATCTAGAAGGCACCTCATA